TTACAAGATACTAATATATATATACAAACACACTACATAGAATGGTATAGGTGCTTTTTTTTTGCAGTGTTGGCAATATCGTTTAATCTACACTTTTTATTTTTCCTAGTTTTGCCTACTTTCGTCAAGGTTATTATAAGTTATATTCTTGGAATTGCAGTATTTCCACAATAATATTGTTAGATTGGCAATACTGTAACAATAAAGGCTTCATTCTTGCAATGATACAATGCTTCTGACATTTTTTGCTTCTTATACTTCATAGGGTATTGCCAAACTTTAGGACCTGCCAAGAATGGGGTACATTGACGTTGTGGCAGGCTTATGCAATATATGATCATATAATGTAACTAAACCCCCATTATTTTTTGCCTAGGTGAGGTGTTTTTAAATAAAACTATTACAATCTCTAAAATTTTGAAAGCATTGTTTAGTGAATAAGCGAGTGCGCTGGATTCTGTATTTTGTATGTTTTGGCCCCAGCAGCACCCTATAATGTATGCATGTTTAGGTGAGTGCAGCCCTCTTGGTTTTGTTTGTATATTTGGGAGTCTAGGCCAGCTCCTTGGTTTTGCACCCCTCCCTGTCACAGGTGCCTCATTCCAGGATCCTATTTAGCCTTGACTTGCAGAGAGTCCCAGTAAGGAAGTATTTCCCAAGTAAGTGGATCAATCTCATAAGGGCAAGCATTAGGCTGCTAGAGTAGGACCTGCCAAGAATGGGGTACATTGACGTTGTGGCAGGCTTATGCAATATATGATCATATAATGTAACTAAACCCCCATTATTTTTTGCCTAGGTGAGGTGTTTTTAAATAAAACTATTACAATCTCTAAAATTTTGAAAGCATTGTTTAGTGAATAAGCGAGTGCGCTGGATTCTGTATTTTATATATAAATATATATATGTGTATATATATATGTATATATAGAATTATACGACAGAGAGAGAAAAAAATACAGTGAAACGATTCAAAATGTCAATGGATGAAGGTTTTCAATCTATTCCCTCAAAGGTTGTGTTCCTGTGTTTTTATATTATTGAAGACAAAAGTCTTGGGAGAAACCATAATTCATTTTTTCAGCATATAGGTTTTTTTTTTTCATATCATTTTCAGTATAAAACACAAATCTTGTTTTTCAATATTAAAGATGGAGTCAGTGTCCTTTTGGCTAAGGAAAAAATGGAATACATTCAAACTAAATATATTTCTGAATTGTGTTTTATGCAAAATGCTTATATTCTGTTCAAAACATTTTAAAAGCAAAATTTCAAACAATTTAATGCATGTTTTTATTAACCTGCCACGTTTCCACAGGAAAACAAAGTGACAAGTGGTCTATCCTTTTGATGCTGATCTTGAATTATCTGTATTAATCTGGACATATTGCCTTGGGCGTCATGGTCAATGGATGGACACCTAAGCCTTGATAACATTCTAACTGCAAAACCCAATAAAACAATATAGACTGGTTGTGGCAGATATTTTTTTTATCACATTTTGACTGGTTTTAATGCCAGACAGCATTTTAGCAGCCAAACCAGATAAACAATTGGTTGATAAACGGGTTGGCTGCTTGAAACAAAAATCCTTGAATAAATGTGCTTCAGAGGCATCAACCTTTTTTAATGTTAGTCATTATAAAATAAATTAAATAAAAAAACTTGACACCCGCATTAGTACCAGGGAGGTTTATTACCTCCCCCATACTCGCACTTTCCATCCTGTGAGTGGAGGAATGTCTGCTAAACAGCAAGCACCAGTAGCTGCAATAAAATGGCTATTGCTGCCCAAACTATTTTAATGTACAAGGGAAGCTTGTAACATGTAGCTCCCATGGTGGGCTTTTAGTAATAAATTAAGCCGTGGCCAGTGGGTGAGAGCTGTAAAATGTGCATTGACAAAATAACCTCTCTGTTAGTGTGAGGGTTATAAAGTTTTGCTTTGGACTCAAGAACCACTTGATTCTGGAACCTAGCAACACCCCTAAACTCATATGAGGTCCACCAGCCCCAGTGGAGAGATCATTTGAATGGGCTAAATTGTAAATGGAATTTGTTTTCAGTAATTTAACCAAAGTACACCAAAATCATAGGCTGCATATATTTACTGAGGTGGTAACAATATTACTTTATGTGTTGGGTCTTTCAGTGGTGAATCTAGACATTTTTTTACCTGGTGCAGAGACTCAGTTGAGCACCCCTTGTTTTATCTTTCAAGTGCAGGCAGCCAGTGCACACTGGGATCAGTGAGATAGGGTGTTTAGGGGGGACTGTGGTAGGATAAGTGTGAGAGGATTTGGGTGTAGGTGTGACAGGCTGTGTGTCAGGGTGATGGGTGTTGAGTGACTGTGGCAGAGTGTTAAGTGTGACAAGGGGGATGTGACAGTATGTGGGGAGGCTGTGTTAAAAACAGTCTCCCCACACAAACTAGCAATGCCTTTTTTAAATGATATATATATATATATATATATATATATATATAAAAATAATTTACCCTCCTGCTTATCTCCTGTTTTGCCAAAGGGGTCTATATTGCTGGAGTTCGCTTGTGACAAAACTAAAAAGTTCTGCAATGTAAGATGAACCACACAGTGCTGGTAGACTACTGACTACTTTATGAATCCTTGCTTAACCCCACAGGATCCATAACAGGAGCTGGCAAGTAAACAGTACACTATAACTGGCACTGCCATAAAATGATGAGAAGCAAGTTCCCCAGATTAACCAAAGTAAATTGTCTGCTATATTGATCCTAAAATAGGTAAAACATGTTTTAATAATTAGATATTAAATAGGTAATAAGTAATGTCCAAGTGACTCAAAACTTTGAAAAAAATAAGACATTTGCCTTTTATTTCCTTTTTGTCATTGACTAAAGACGTTGGGATACTACACTGTGTGTCAGAAAAAATGCATGTGATGTTATCACTCGAAAGACAATCTGGGACAAATGCACTAAAGGAATTGCAATAAACAGCAAACCACTAAAAACTAAGAAAGAAAGATAACAAATGACTATTCTGATACCCAAAAATGTGGTGTATTGTGTTTTATAATTTAATGACAGTCATTGCATCCTGAATTGTGAAACAAAACAATATATACTGGAGAAGTAAATGACAGAAAAGCTTAATACTTATTGGCTTTTTATGCAGCTTTTTTTTATCACAACTCCAATGTTTAAAGTAATAATTTGTCTTTGTGTTATTCACACCCACATAATATAATATTTCCTTAGTGAATATTAAACCTAATGTGTTCTACTGCAGAACATTCTCTCAATGTCCATTCAACAATATCCCTGAGTACAACTATGTCCATCAAATACAGGTTTACTATTTTTACAAAGTTCTAGGACCAAATTAGGAACTAACCCATTTCAGGTTTCAAAGCATACAGTTTCACAGATTAATTTGACAGGTCCATCATATTCGGATTAGTGCAGAAGTCCTTCTGTTAAAATAACCACTTTAATGGTATACCGTTTGCAAGAGTAGACACATCACAGTATTTTATTGTGTGGCCAATTTATCACTGACAACATTGGTGGTGAAGGTTTTTTGACAGGGGTTTTTTTTTTTTAACACATTGCAGCATTTCTGCAAATTTTCAAACCATAATGTGTTCTTCCTCATGAAGAGATTCCAAAGTATGTCCATGTACATCCCATAATTACAAATACATTTATAGGTCTGCAAGAGGTATTCAAGTTTATCTGACCTCTAAAGAGATTTGCATTAAGTCTGACATATTCCTTTTTCTTTAACCAGTATCTTGTTTTTTGGATAGTTTTGTAACCAACAAACAACCTCACAATGATATTCATAAACAAAAGTAGACCACGTAGGATATTTTATGTGGCATGTGGTGGCACCTTTCCTATGGCTATTTTTTGACCATTTGTTTGTCAAAACTTTACATATTTTTTTCCTACATGTTATTTGCACAGACACTTTTTAGATGCTATGAATTATATGCATATTATGTTTTCTACTACAGGAAATTCAGCTATATCATTAATTTAGTTAGCGGATATCTACCATTTTATGTGTTTATGAAGTTAAGGGACCTCTAGGATGACCAACGGTATTTTTAATAAAGCTGGAGAAGAGTGGCACTCACTCCAATTTCCTCTCCCAGTGCCTCCAGACCAATTTAATTTTCAGGTCTGTGTTACGTATTTGGGCAGATTAGAATATCATTTCCAGTTACCCCCATATTGGTAATCAGCAGCAGAGAACATAGGGTGTTTCAAATGCCACTTTTTGGTGGCCATTTTTTCCACCTTTTTTGCAAAATATTTACTGACTTGAACTCTGCAGGATACAGCAGTGAGCCTTTATATAGGTTCGTAAGATGTTTCAGAAGCTATGGGGCTAAATTAGATGTGTGAAAGTTTAAGTCTGACAACAATGGAAGTACCCTCTTTATACAATTCCTTATAAGTAAGATCTGTTGTTTTGAAAGCTAACTCAAGTTATATTATTCTATGTCTTTATGTTTTGAGAATATCACATATGTATAGATTTGTCAACGAATGATGAATGTCATCATCCAAAAATGCATATATATATTAAAGTTATGTTTCCTAGCTTTATTTTTAGCCACAAATAAACATATGAAGCACAACCTAGTTTCCTAATAGCTCAGTCAAAATAAAAATCCAGAGGAAAATTGGGGAAAGAGGCATTTTTAGTGTAAACTAAAATATGCATGAAACATTAGCATTGCTCTAGTGATTAGTCAAACTTAACAATTCGGAGCTAAAATAAATCCTTATTGAAAAAAAATAATAACCCCGTAACCCCCCCCCCCAAAAAAAAAAGAAAAGAAAAGAAAAACAAACAGTCACTACTGTATGTGGCAACTGACAATTATAGTGATCGGGACATAAAAGGGAATATTACTATTCTGTGGGGATTAGTGATGTCCCGAATGGTTCACCGAACGGTTCGCCGCGGACGGTGAACATAAAATCTGACCCTGTACCTCACAGTCAGAAGACACATTCCAGCCAATCAGCAGCAGACCCTCCCAGACCCTCCCACCTCCTGGACAGCATCCATTTTACATTCATTGTGAAGCTGTATTCTTAGTGAGCTGTCCAGGAGGTGGGAGGGTCTGGGAGGGAGGGTCTGCTGCTGATTGGCTGGAATGTGTCTGAACCTGTACCTCACCGTCAGCAAAGTTTGTTTATGTTCGCTGTCCGCGGCGAACTGTTCGGCGAACCGTTCGGGACATCACTAGTGGGGATACATTGTAGCCAGGGCCGGCCTTAGGCCTTCGGGTGCCCTGTGCGAAAAATCTTCACATATAATGTGTGTCAGTAGGTGTAGTGTTTGTATATGGGATTTATTAAATTAATAAATATTTAAAATTAAAAATGTATTCCCCCCTTTCCTGTTGTTACCTTGCATGGAGGAGGGCACACTGATCTCTGGTGATCCAATGTGCTGGGAATCTGGTTGGCCCCTCCACCGGGTGCAGACCATCAGTAACTGTCTCATGAACTCAAGCACTTAGTGTCAGAGCTTTCCTGTTGAAATCCGCGGAAATGCTCTGACTGGCCGGAGTGCATAAAACAGCTACATATTGCATTTTGTATGACAGAGTTCCACTGTAATAAATCTTATTATAATATGATGGGGTGTGTGTGTGGTATCTGTGTGTGATATGTATGCTATGTGTTAGCTGCGTGTAATGTTTGTGATGGTTGTATTGACTGTGTGTAATATATGTGTGTATTGGATGTGTGTGATATTTGTGCTGGGTTCATTGGCTGTATGTGACGGGTATTTTGTTCATAGAAATATAGAAACATAGAATGTGACGGCACACACATTTGCAGGCAGTCACACAAAGTTACATGGAGACACACAGTTACAGGCAGGCACACACATACACAGTTACAGACAGACTGTTACCTCTTTTCATTATGTACTGGAGGGGGAGCAGGGGCACAGTGGAGGAGGGTGGGAGGGCCGGGTAGTGTGTAGGTGGGTGGGGGAGCAGGCTTAGTGTAGTAGTAGGTGGGGGACCAGGGGGCACAGATGAGGAGGGTGGGGGAGCATGGGCAGTTTAGTGAAAGGTGGGGAGCAAGGGGCACAGTGGTGGTAGGTGGGGGAGCAGGTGTAGTGTATTGGTAGGTTGGAGAGCAGGGGCACAGTGGTGGTTGGTGGGTGAGCAAAGATGGTGTAGTGGTAGGTTGGGGAGCAGGGGGCACAGTGGTGGTAGGTGGGGGAGCAAAGGTAATGGAGTAGCAGGGAGGATGGGGGCACAGTGCGTAGCTGGGGGAGCAGGGGGCACAGTGCATAGCTGGAGGAGCATGGGGCACAGTGGTGGTAGCTGGAGGAGCTGGAGGGCACAGTGGTGGCTGTTGGGGAGCATGGGGCATAGTGGTGGTAGGTGGGGGAGCAGGCTTAGTGTAGTAGTAGGTGGGGGAGCAGGGGGCACAGATGAGGAGGGTGGAGGAGCATGGGCAGTTTAGTGAAAGGTGGGGAGCAAGGGGCACAGTGGTGGTAGGTGGGTGGGGGAGCAGGCTTAGTATAGTAGTAGTAGGTGGGGGAGCAGGGGGCACATATATGAGGGAGGGTGGGGAGCCTGGGCAGTTTAGCAAAGGTAGTGGAGTAGCAGGGAGGAGGGGGCAGGGGGTGCAGTGGTGGTAGGGGTGGGGGCAGGGGGCACAGTGGGATGGTGGGGTGCAGGGGGCACAGTGTGTAGCTGGGGGAGCAGGGGGCACAGTGGTGGTAGCTGGAGGAGCTGGAGGGCACAGTGGTGGCTGCTGGGGAGCATGGGGCACAGTGGTGGTAGGTGGGGGAGCAAATGTAGTGTAGTGGTAACAGGGACACAGTGGAGAAGGGAGTGGCAGTGGGCACTGTGGTGTTAGGTGGGGAGCAGAGGGCATAGTAGGTAGGTGTGGGAGCAGGGGGCACAGTGGGTAGCTGGGGGAGCATGGGCACAGTGGTGGAAGGTTGTTTTCCCTGTTTAGCTATGCCCCCCGCATGCGGTTTAGCTAAGCCATGCATGCCACTTAACTCCGCCCTCTTTGCATTTACTGATAGACCCGAGTGGAGGATAATGAAATCCTCCACCCGGGTCCCGTGCAGCCACACTACACAGCGCACCCTGCATTATAGGAGTGCTCTGAGCACCCCTCACACTTGTCACTTAAGCACTCCTTCTGCCATGGCAGCGGCACACGCCTAAGGCCGGCCCTGATTGTAGCTACATCTGATCTCTTTCTTTCACTTTGGTACAATAAAGATTGAGAGTAGAGCTGCACATGGGCTTAGGTCAGACTGCTTCCTGCAGAGTCAGCAGCAACAGAGTGAGTTATCTTTATGCCGTACACATACAACACTGGTCCATCAGCAACAACTTACTGGTCTACATCTGCATGGCATTCGGTCTTTAACTTCATCACACTTTGCTTTTAGTGGAAAAAAACATTTTGTTTTTAACATATTTTTCTAGACAAAAACAAAAAAAAAAAGTTTAGTCCTTCCTTAAGATAGCGAAAGAGAAAAAGAAAAAACAGTCCTATAGAAATGCGTGAACCTGACTCTTACCATTCATGTTTTTGTCTAAGATCTAACACATATTTAAAACAATTGAAAAAAGCAGCAATCTAAATTTAACATGAGCTGTCCTTAGCTCAGGAGGAGGTCTAGAAGAATGACAACTCAAACAAAAAGAAACCTTTTCCAACAACTAAATTCTAAAGTCTTAGTGTGCATGCAAAATCTGCCTGAATTCTAACTCCAGTAACCCTTTCCTCTCCCGACAGGAGAGAGCATTGCAACAATTAAATCTACTTTACAGAGGTGGGTCTCCATGTCCACAATTAAAATAAAAAGGATCTGTCTGCTATTCTGTTTTAAATATAACATGCATATTAGTACCCCCCTAATCCCTTCCATGCATATTAGTACTCCCCTAACCCCTTCCAATTATTTTTCTACCTACCCCTCTCCCCCATCCATATTAGTAGACCCCCTAACCCCTTCCAAATATTTTTCTTCCTCCCCCTTCCTCCCATCCATATTAGAAGCCCCCTAACCACTTACATTCATTTTTCTACCTTCCCCCCTCGCCCCCCCCTATTACCTGACATAGCAGGGGGACCTCTGAACGTCTGGCGGGCGCAGTGTCAGACTGAGCGCCGGGTAGTCACGTGACACCAGGCGCTCCTGCGCGGAAGGGGAGGTGCTCCCCTTCCCAGTCTGCAGTGCATGCGGTTCCCTGATGGAGCCACCCACGGCCGGCAAAGCTTGTGGGATTTCTCTATAACCTGTCCCCCCCGCATGATTTGCTGGGGGGGATGCATCCCCCTCACCCCCCGGTTCCTACGCCCATGAGAGTACATGGGTATTTGTTGTAGAGTATTGTTTGTTAAATGCAGCTATCCAAGTATTTAGCTAGAATTGGTTGCAGATATTCTATCAGCATCATCTGTTATCACTGTGGTGATGGTGATGGCAGTGTCCAAAATTAGCATATCACTTCTTTTCAGCATACGAAGGCTGTTTGCGGTAGTCATCCAATGGCAAACTATATGTCAAAGTATTTTCTTGAATCACCTTCATATGTGCATCCAAGGTCTCTTTCACAAGCATTTGTCTTGTCTCTTTTCTAATTCCAGCATCCCTGCCCAGTATGAGGATTTGAGATAGTCCAATTACTTCTTTCTCATGTATAATTGTTTTTTTTTTTTGGTATGGTCACCAATAGGTTCCTTGTGAAATACCAGTGTAGGTCACATTAGCAATCATTTCACTGTGAGCTGTGTCTCTCTTCATGAGATGGTTCTTGGAGGTTGTCCTCACGATCATAGAACTTGTATTACTTGTAGCTAGGGTTGATGTTATGATAATGCTGCAGATTGTAAGAAGGAGACACCATAACCAATTTTCTAACATCCTTTTGCTTCCATATTTGCTTTTCTTTCTTACTATATAAGATAATTCAGGTATAGTCTGGTTTTCTCCAGAGTCTTGCTGATAACGATGTTTATGATTGATTTTTTCATATATTCCATGTTAACTGTGAATGTATCACATCTCTCTGTTCATCCTTCTCCTTAACATCTACAGGTTCAGATGTCAGATCATGATTCAGTCTCTTGCGTGGGTGTGATTCTGGTGGCATTTCTGTCATCTTCTGTTTCTTTTCTTGCCTTCTTTAACAGCACCCATTGTGTCAGTCAGTGGTTCTGTGAGCATCCTGGAAGTGTTTAGCAGGTTTAAAATTCTCCAAGTCTACTTTTCTCTGTTGGCTCTGATCATACTCTGTGTGACGGAACGCTGGCACTCCGACTGAGTACCTCCGCCAATCGATGCTCCTAGCGCTTGCCGAGGACTCCAAGCACTCCAACCGACACCATCAGCACTGCAGACCCCACTTCCAGCGATGCAACTGCGCCAGGGTCTCTGCTGTTTCCACCCACCCTGGACCCAAGGCCAAGATCCAGCTTCCAGTGGGTGAACCTCTCTTTCTCCAGAGAGCAGGAACAGGAACAAATCAAGCTATTGCAAGAGCTTCCTCTGGTGAGTAAGTGATTATAGCAATCCCCAGAGTGTAGGTATCCCTTCCCCCAAACATGAGCCAAGGCTTAATGCTGGAACAAGACTGATTTACTGGCACACAGAACTCACAATTTATGCAACACAAAACTCCTCCTCGGGCCAGGCTAGATAATTGAGTTTCTACAATACACAAAGCTCAATTATCTGCTGGCCAGAAATAATACAGTTTCATAAAACACACGGGGACCCCAAAACATGCAATAACCCCATAAAAATATATATCCTTGGAACCGGGGGGTCTGGGTGAACCACATATCCAAAATTCACCCAGATCCGTTCAGTACTTTGGAAAATACAGTTTAATGCAGATTCTGCAGAACATATACAGGCTAAATGAAAAACAATCACTGTATAATGTGTCCCCTGCTGTATAGTCCAAAACCACTGCACGATGTCTCTGTGCACCAAATACTGGCGAGATGGCACCGTGTTGAAAAGTCCAAACAGTGTCTGTGAGTTAAAATGGCCGCCATCCATTGTTCTCACCATGTGCTTCTGATACAGGAAATGGTGGCCACCCAGTAACTCCACAGTATGTCCCCAGATGGTTCTTAAAGGGCCAGCAGCAGCACAACACAAAT